GAAAAATCAGTAAAAATGCTAATAAACTGAGAAGGCTAATCATCTTTAAACTTTAGGGTATTCTTCAATCGTGTTTGTTCTCCAGCAAAGACTTGACTTGAACCTCAAGACCAATATACTTAAATTACAAGATACCACTTCTGACCAATTTCTGGACTTCGGCTTTTAATGGATAGCAATGTTCGATACTATGCCCAGGGGCTCCCTGATGAAAGGCACATGACAAATAGGATTTGTAGTACCAAGGAATCTTCTCAAGAATCTTCAGTGGAGGTCGGGTATGAACCAAATTCCTCAGCATCAGGACATGAAACAACTCTCTATAGGTCGTTGGAATTGGATTAAACTGAGTTTTCCTCTGATCAGGAACTTACTGATTATGTTGACAATCTGGAGTAACAGAAGGTAAATTGAACGCAGGAATGACAGGAAAAACATGTTGATTCTGACGATGATTTTTTCTTCTTCTGGTTTTCTTCTTGGAAAATTTATTATCAAACTTCTTCACACCACTAGATAGCCACCATATTCAGAAAAACATCTTTTTTGGACATCCTATTCTTGAAGCACTCCCATATTCACCTTTTCAGGGAAATCACTAAGTGTATTGACTATTACCTTCTCATGAAAGAATGATTTCAGAGTTTATGTGAATACCTTCGCCATCTCTTCTTCCTTCCCAGAAGGATTGACTTGGGCAGCAACCAAAGTTTTAACCAAAGCAGTTAGATACTTCATACCAGCCTTCAAAGTAATTACCTCTTTGCGAAGTTCAAAGATTCCTGCTTAATGTTTTCCATCTTCTCTTAGCACGAGTGTTGCACTGATGTGATAACTTGACTTCTGAAGACAAAGAGCAGAGGATAAGACTCCAGGAAACTCTTGAAATTAAGACAGAAGTCAGAATGATGCATGCTATGCAATGTAAATGATTGCCTAAAATTTTTAAAACCAAGTTTTCGAATAACTTTGGAACATTATAAATGAATTGCAAACATAAATTAAAAGACACAATTGGGTTAACTGAAAAACTCATTTCATTAATACTGGAAGGGTTACATTTGAAGTACAAAACTTCACTAATCCTACACAGAAGAAAGAGAAAGCTAAATCCTCAGGTCCACATGAACTGCATCCAAAGAAGATCCAACGCCGTATTGTAACATCTTGAGCTTGAATTTGGAATGCTAAAGGAAAATAAATCCACTTGCAATTTTCTCTTTTACTTTGCTGATAATCGGGAAAATAAATCACGTATACAAAGAATTTAGGGACTGAATCAAAGGCGTGGAGAAATCCATCATAAAAACAGCTCGGAGAAATTGAAATCCCAATGACTAGATATCAAGGATTCAAGCTTTCTCAATTCTTCTGAATCATGACTCTTGACATTGTACTTCTGAGTACTCCTTCCAAAGTCCATAATTACAAAATTTATGATGTTTGCAAGCATAAGTCTTAAGTTCCTTGAAAGTTTGGTTAAAGAAATGTTCATGGGTGCATGAATGCATGATGCAACAATCACACACAAGATCACAAACACAGGGGGTTCATAGGTTCGACGTCATGAGTATGAGGTCAAAGGTGCTACCCACAAGGTATGGACTAGTAGTTTATCACCTGCAAAACAAGGTTCTAAGAGGTTCCCAGAGTCTACATCCTTCCTTCAGATATTACCAACGTCTCGATTGACTCGGTAATTAGCAATATTCTCAGGAAAAACTCATCTGAGTGTAGTATCGCGTGACAACCATTTACATATTACTCCGTAATAGTTTCCACACTACACCTAAAAGGTCAAGATGGGTTAAGGGTTCTACGGTTCTCAGCTTCAGCAGGATCCCAGGTCAAAAGCAGCATGTCTTCCTGATTACTCGCTAAATGATACTACAGTCAAAGGAGCCTCCACTGAGTGGGGGTTCTCATGCCTCCTTTTTGGGATTACTCCCTCAAAGTTAACATGACTATACCCCGCGTCATATCTTAAGTTTGCCCAAGTTCGGGTAGAGGACTTATGAGAAATCACCAAGCACCCTGAAAACCAAGAAAGTCCAGACAAACATATACAACACATAATATACAACAAATAATAACACATACACAAATAAACAAAGATAAGCTCAACCCACTTAGGGATAGACCAACATTTAGTCGATCTGTTCCCTAATGAAGTCGCCATTTTTTTCTGTAGCGGTAGAAATGTTGAGACAAAGCCACTGGATTAACCTGACTCGCACAGATCAAATAAAAATTGCCACCACGCTTTATTGTTTCTAGAGGAATGGGAAAAGAGTGAATAACCCAAAAAAGAGGGGGGAGATAATCTAAGTTAGGCGGTTGGTTATATAAAGGGAAGGTATTAGCACCCTAAACATCTATGGTACTCCGCAGGAACCTCTTTGAAAATTTGTGTATTTTGGCTATAAGTGTTGTATACAAAAATAGATGGTGGAGATGAGAAAAGAAATATTTTTTTACAATTTTTGCACCCACCGCGGTTGCGAACCTTTAGTGCCTACGTACCACCTTCCGTGTAATTGGGGATCAGGGTACTCGTAGTTTACCTTTAAAAAAATTTAAAACACAAATGTGTTGGTTAGTTTTAAGAGACGAGACATCATCGTCTTATCCGAGTGGAAGAAAATACTTACTACACATGATTATGAGAAAGGAGAATTTGCATCATCTCAAAGTGGAGGATATAACTTGGATTTTAAAATCAAAAAGTCTCGCTCAACACCCAAGTGAAAAATATATCACTTCACTACATATTATAGAAGTATTGTAGCTCACATCACTACAAGGATTGACAAGAGTCTAATCTTTTGAGGAAAAATTTAAGTAAAAAGCCACAATGGAAAAATGGTTTGAATGAGATTGATTGACTTTTAGTCTTCTCACAAAAAATTTCAAAGTATCATTAGGTTGGTTAAAGTTTGATTAAGAAATTGTTTTTGAAAATGCATGGACTTAAGTCCAAGTTTATTATGAAAGCGGTTCGAGTTAGAAAACAAGAAGAGCTTTGAAAAGGAGAGAGAAGATTTTTGAAATTAAAGATGGGAGGAGATGAAGGGACTATCCTAAAGTATAAGGTAAAAGTTAGGGAAAGGAACCGTCTAACAAACAAGAAGCCAACACTTGACATAATGAGTCAATATATAATTCCCATCCTTTGGATTGAAACCAAACAAGCAAAGATATTAAACCTTTTAAGAATACCAAACTTCAAATGTATTATGTCTTCATAAAAATTGGGCAGAGTAACGGTTGTATACAAATGAATTCTCAATTACAAGTAGAGCATATAATTAGAATAACATGCACACAAAGAAACAAGCAACCCAATATCTTGGGGTAAACCCCAAGAACTCCAGACAAAATAACAATAGAAGTCACGAGGTCTCAAGGTGGTCAAGGTGTCTACTCCTAAATCCAAGAAGTCCATAACTCCAAAATGCCAAGGATAGTAACCAAATAGTCTAAGCAACCTTAAAGTTTTTTATTGTTCAAGTTGGTTATTAGGTATCTTCAAAAAAGGAAAATAAAAGCTCAAGTGAGCAAAATGAAAAGACATAAAGATAAATTCTCAAGTGAGCAAAGATGAAAATAGCATGAAATGTAAATGCTAAAATAAATTGTGCGTAAAAGTAAAGGCATAAAGTAAAAGCATAAAAATAAATTAATTGTTAATGTGTTAGAAATTAGAGGTTAGTTGAATGACCATCTTGAATCTTGCATTTGAAAACACGTTAGATGATTGATAAAATCAAATCCTCTTAACAACAAGTTTCATTTTCTTTTTGTCAAGTATATCATTCATTTCAAATTCTCAAGGCAATAACAAATGATCAACGGTGTTTAAATGATTCACTTAGTCCAAAATTTATGAAGATTCATTAGATGACTGATAAGACCAAAGCCTCCTAACAGTGAACCTCAAGGTTATTGGATCAAAGGTTTCAAATTAAACATACTTGGGCTTACAAACATAGATTTAGGTCACGAATGATCATTTTTTGAATCAAGATAAAATTTAGCGTTATGTTAAGGAATCATAAATGGACTTATGTAGAAGTCGCACCTATTTTGAGGCCGGTCAATAGCAATCTATGTACCATATGTTTAGAGAGATGATATGTAAATCATCCTCTAACAACATGTAGTACAAGTAAAAATATTAAAAGGGAGAAGATGAACAAGAATTAAATTCCACATTTGAACCAAATAATTTAATAAGGCTATCATTAAAATCATTCATTCATTTTGGTGGAGTTAAACTCAACATCCAAGATCCAATGATGTTAATAAAGCTCATGATTAAACTTTACATAGTCCAAGATCAGCCATAATATATACAAAAATAAAATTGCATTTAACAATCAAAATAGAATGAGAAAATTGATTTTTAAATTGTTTTTTAAATAAAAATAAAAGGCAAAATAACAAACTATATTCAAAATATCAAAGAAAAATTAAAATAAACCATATAAAAGTCAGAAGTGATCTCAAATATTTTTAAAAAAATTTTGGTGATTTTTTGAAAACAGAAAAATATTTTTAAGCTAATTAAAATCACTCAAATAAGTGAAAAATAATTTAAAATAGTAAAAACTAAAATAAAATTCTATAAAAATTCCAGAAAGTAATAAATAAATAAAATTATTTTTTTGAATTTTTTTCAGAATTTTTGAACGAAAATTGAATTTTAAATGAATTTTTAAAGTAAAAAAAGGATTAAAAGAAAATAAATTAAAACAGAATAATTATGTACCATTAGATCTAGTCAACTGACAAAATATGTAAATCTACTGACTCAGAATGCAGGTACACGATAATTACAAAATATACGTGCATATATGATTATTTTTTCACTTCATCTTCTCAGATGAGGACAAGTGGCCCTCCGCCACTTGTCCTCCTTGTACTGGCCGGCGTGAATCACCACTAGATAGGGAGCGGAAGAGACAAGTCTCTTGCTTTAATGACAACAACATTATATTATGTTGTTTCCTTTTTTTCAAAAAAAACTTCCTCTCTTACTCGGTTCTCTCTCTATCATTTCCTTAAAACAAAACAAAAATCAAATAATGAAACTTATGAACAGAAGATCAATCACGGCGGCAAGAGAACAACAGAGGCGGTCGGAGATGGACTCACGGTGGTCACCGGCAAGGGCTCGCGGCGGCGCCACCGTGAGTAGCTCGGAACATAATTTTTTTTTTACATTTTTCAGTTCGGTTTGTCACCCTCTTCAAATCCGGAAACAGTTTTTCAAAAACAATGATCGAAAAGTGTAGATCTACAGAAGAGTTTTGTAAAAGTTTTTGTTCACAACAACAATGAATAGTCAGAATCAAATAAAGGAGAGGGGATTCAATTTTGTGAAAGGGTGAGCAACCTTTTGAAGGAAAAAACGGCGAAGGATGACGGTGAGAACAACTCAATCGCGGCGGCTCCGGTCATGTTTCGGCCGGTTAATGGTGATTCCGGAGAAAGGAAGTATGTGAGGTGGTTTTTCCGGTGAGGTGAGTATTGTTTTCGATTTGAGTTCTAGAATTGTTTTTCAGTCTATCGTGAAAATATCCCCCTCTTGGGTGAATGATGAATTGAAGCTTAAATAGATGTCAGAAAATAATGTTTTGCTTGTGAAATCTAATTTTGGGCTTAATCTTGCTGCCTTCTGATTTCTGATAAACAAACCTTTGTTGATTCGCGTGGGCTTTTCATGGTCCTGACTTGTTATTTTTTCTGATGTGTTTGTACTTGTTACTGCACTATGTTGTGTTTGTACTTCTTTACTTTTTATACCTCCCTTTGTGAATCAAAAACAAATGCTTTTTTTTTTGTGATTTGCAATGGGAGTTATGACCTATGATTTGTAATTCTGATTTTGAAATGAACAATTGCGATTCTGACTTCGCTTTTACTTGTAATAGCACGATGCCTGTTTCTGAACTCGTAGCAAATTTCCTTTTCAAACTCTATTGTGAACCAAAGATTGGATTTGTGATTTGTAATAGAGGTCACAGGATAATGATTGGACCAAAATTTTGATTATTTGTCAAAAAAATATGAGGCCTTAAACATGCGATTCAATTCTTGCTAGCTTGTGTGAATTTTGTTGTTTTTGACTGAATTGATATGCTAACATACCAACTTTTTCTTTTCATGTATTATGAATAATGATGCTTGAGAGATGATATGGAAGATATGGAGAAGTAAACGTGTCAAAGCTTGGAGTTTGGCACGGCAGATTAAGCTCAAGGATGGTCGAGAATCGTCGGCAAACCGAAAGTAATGTTGATGTTACTTGAAGATTAGGCCATAGACTGAGCTTGAATTTTCTTGTAACATTAGTGATGTAGCTTGAAACTAGGCATTAGAAACTTGAGTAACTCTTGTAAATTGATGAGGCAACTTGGAAATTTAGGCTATGGAACTTGAATTTTGTATGTATTGAATGCAACTTGCAACTTAAGCAAAGAAGTATTGACATGGTTTCTCTTGTAATTAGGCATAGAAAGAAAACTTGAGATGACTTGAAAATTCATGTAAGTTTCTTCTTGAGTTTGAATCTGTTGTAAAAAACTTGGAATTCTTGAGAAAAGAATGAGATTTAAATCTTTGAAACATGCTTTGAATTGTGCTTTGTATTTCCTTGAATGCTTCTTGCCAATTTGAATGAATTTTCTTGTAAATACTAAATTCAATTCTTGATGAATGAGGAGGAATAAGTCTTGAAGTTGTCTTGAAATTCAAAGAAAGTAATTTTGCCTCGAGAGTTGTTCACAGTTTCTTTTTTGGACCATTCCTATTGATATACTTATGACATTAGGAAATTTAATTCATGCATGAAAATTTCTTGAGATTTTTGATGAAAGTCTTCAACCTCATGAAGTCTCCAAATTTGCACTTGAATCATTTAGATTTGGACTTGAAAGGTGTTGAACATACTTAAAAATTTTGGAATAAGGACTTGAAATGAATGAATGTTAACTTGTAATTTTCAAACTCATGAAAGTAAGAACTTCTCTCCATCTTTTGAATTTCAAATTGAAGCTTTTGAAAAAAAATTGAATTCATGGATTTTGAATCTTCAAACCTAGACAAAAATGACCTTTAAAATGGATATCTTGGCAAATAAACACGACTCTTAATTTGAGCGATCACAAAAAATATATATGAACAGTTAGAGATTAAGAACATTATAAGCCCGAAAAAGGACCCGTAATGTTTTATTAAATCTCATGGATTTCTAAGCACCATTCGTTCTCGCTCTTTGAAGCAAACTTGTAGATAACATCTTGAAGTGCAAAAGAATCGTCCCAAAATGATGACAATTGAAAGAATTATGATCCTCAGAAGTTGGACGAAAGTCATTTGGATTTAGGTCAAAGTCACGAAACATCCTCTAACGTACTGAAACTTTTAATGGCCTTCTACACATAATTAACTCTTGACTTGTAAAGAGAAATCAGAGGTGACGTTAATGAGATTCATATGCTTGAAGAATCGATCAAAAATAACGAATAATGAAGAACTTATGATTGTTTGAATTCGAACTTGCAAACGTTGACTTTCAGTCAACCAACTTTGAATTAACTACAGACTTTATCTTTCTTCAACAACCCAAGGCACTCTTAATCACATATGAACTTCAGATGACGAAATCCTGATGAAACCATGTTCCCACTTGTCAGAATTTGAGATTACTCGTCGAAGAAGGCATGGAAATAAACACATGAACCTATCTCGAAGAGTCTTGAGAATTAAGACACCAAACTCGCTTTAACTATGCAGAATAAAGCTTGAGGATAGTGTGACCTAAGATTATAAATCACCACTCTGAACAATAAGTCTTTGAGAACCAGTCTTCGGCATGAACAAACCACAACCCTAATCGTAGAACCATCACTTGATTTTCTCGATCGGAAACCCCGTCTTCTAAAAGAAACAAAATAAACAAGACATATTTTTGGATTTTGGTTAGAGATTAATAAAATATAAAACACATGTATACAAGATACACGATTCAAGGTGCTTGGTGATCTCTCAAGAGCAAACTTAAAGATAAGACACGGTAGAAGAAATACCCTAACCCTAATGCGTGATCTTGTTGCATTGTGATGGTATGAGATGATAGAGGAATTTTAGGGGCAAAAATTGGGGTACAACGGCTGGTTATCACTGAAGCTGACAGATTTTTACAAATTTTAAAAATTAATAACTTTTGTCTCGGGTGTCTGTTTGACACGCCGTTTGGACCGTTGGAAAGCTAAAAATATTTTCTATAATGTGAAACTCATTTTGATGGAAGTAGCCTAATATTTTGTTGGAAAAATTACGATGTGTGTGTATGTTGTATGTGTTGTAATGCAAATGTAGTGATTGAACGCATCAGTGTTGTATAAATGATGTATGAAGGATTTACAGGTTGTATTGCAGTATGACGATGTTGTTATTGGTCTAGAATGATATAATGTTGAGGACTCATGTCCTATATTTGCATAGCTGTGTTGTTGCATATTGCATACATGCATCGTTGAGGACTTATGTCAATGTTGTTGGTCTAGATTGGCAAAATATTGAGGGCTTATACTCTGGTCTTATGTGACAATTTCTGAGAGGGTTTGTGCCCTGATGGTACCACATGTATTTTACATCAGTGTTAGTTGAATTGTATTCTGTTGATATATCGATATAACGATTAAGTTGAGTTGCATAATTGATGTGTTGTATGATGGGTGATGATAAATTATGTATATACTTGTATAATCATTATGAATTATAATTGATGATTGTTGATTTTGGAATCTTGCATGATATATTTGTCGTATATGTATGATTATATAACTTATTATATTATCGTGACATCTCACCCCTTCTGTTTAAATGTTGCCTCTACGTGAATTATGTGCAGGTGATCTGCAGTAGACGTAGTTAATCTTCATTAACTTCGAGTCGGCGTCGTGCTCTCATACGAAACACCGGAGAAAGATAAATATGATTTATTTTCAAAATATATTTCAAAGGATTGTTCTGCTTTATATCTAACTCCCTCTTCAAAACATATAATGAAAGAAATCAGACAATTTTAAACAATTACATTTGAAATCTATATTTATAATAAATCGCATCGAATTTTTGGAGAGAGAGAGAGAGAGGACACTTGAAAAGCAATATTATCAAATTTCCATCAACACTAATCAAAGAGAAAAATATTTATATGACCATGTGATCTGTACAGATACATCTAATGAAAACTGTGACCCCCTTTGTTCCCATTGCCACAATACATCAATCTCAAAAACATTCTTACTCTTGCCTAGCAAATCATCAAAACAGAAACAAAGGGGAGCACTCAACTTGAATAAGCCAAAAAATCCATTCGATTATAACGATTATGAACCTCCAATGCTATCCACCCTATCAATGACATCCAAGGCCTTTATTCGGTCGATATCAAAGTCGATGAAAGGAATAGAAGGTAGCCGCCGTCTTGTGCAGAATATATCATTTTTGCTTTCACTGATTGGGGAATGATTACTACTCTTGCTTAGCCTATGGTGTTTGCTCAACCTAGTCTTGGCAGTTTCAAATTCCTGACTTTTACTGATGCCTGGTGTTAGTTTCCTCTTGCCAACATCTCGAAGCATTTGTTGATCTTCGATTGTCAACAAGGGAGAAGTAGAGCAGCCTTTTTGTGTAAACAGTTGCAACGTTTTCTGGTTCGGAGAACGAATCGGGGATTTGACAGGGGACCTTATTCCTCCGTTACCAACTCTTACTTGGATGACTAGGTGATGTAGCCAGACAACCAGCTCAAGTATATATGTTTCTGTTTTATCTTTATCGGCATGGTGTAGTGTTTCGATTCTCAACAAGTCTGACTGACCGGCAGGTTTACAGTTGACATCAGACCTATAGAAACTTGACTTAGAAAAACGGTATGTACAACATGAACATGGAAGAAAGAAAACTAAAATTATGTCCTCTTACCCTGTGTTTGCCCATTCTCCAACCCATCCGAAGCCATGATGAGCTCTGAAGTAATGCAATTGAAAAAGAGAGAGAATTAAATTTGAGAACAGAACATATCGAGATTAATGTTTTAAGTAAATGTTTTTGCATGCACCATATAAACAATTTTGAGAATAATAGGAAATTGCTGAGTTAGGGCTATCAAATATACTTCGTTGTGTTAGCAGCAATAGGAACAAGCCACTTCAATGTTTTCTCCATTTCATCTTTCATTTGTGGGACAGTAAGCTGCAAAAATGTTTCCATCATTTCAGATTTGGATTTATATTCGGTCATAATCAAAATAGGCAATGTAGCTCAAGCTCGGTAATAACTACTTAGGCAGAAAAGAAGTTCAATAAAATCATTAAAAGATGGAACTAGAAAGTCATTAACAAGTATTGAATGAATTAGGAATAAAACTTTGTCCATGAAAAGGAAAAAAGACATTTAAATTCAAATCAATCAATTGGTACACATATTTGAGAAAATGATGTATTTTATAATCTTGATACTAAATCGGATCTTGCTTGAAAGAAAGTGCAACCTTGAAAAAAAATAAAAATGCAAAAACAAGAAATGGGATACGCACCTCTTCATTAACCTGAAATGACTGTAACTTAGAGCGCAATGCTGATTTTACATTAGGAGGCAGCCCTTGATATAAAGCATCCCTAGTATTAGGAGGCATAGAACCTGATCGAGACACCTGATTAAATTAAAACATCAGCACTCACAGCTACCTTCCCAAACTTTTTGCTATTATATTTCAGATACAAAAACGGTGCAATTGTTAGTACCATTATTCTTTGAAAACAGAAAGAAAACAAATTCTCTTCTTATAACTGCCTATTTAACTAGAGTGAGAATAACATCAGTTTCGAAAAATATTAGATGCAAAAAATTGTCAAGATGCAATATGACAATGAACTTTTTACAGCTATATTACTTGTTCCAAATTGTGTTTACTTTTTTTTATCTGACATAATAGTGATGTCAGAATCAGGGTGCTCAGTGCACCCAAGATGAAGTAAGCCAAAAATTGAAACACCAGTGCTCCAATGTAACTTCAGAACGAGTAACACTTTTTTAGAATGAATGAACCAATGCCTAATACACATAACACCAGTGGAAAGAAATAAGTCGTGAACATGAATATGGCAACTAGATGAGCAGTCAGTAAGTTATGATCTTGTCCATGCAATGTAATTAAGAAGCCAAAGAACGAGACAAACTTAGCTATACAATATTCATAATATCTAAATAAATAAATAAAAGAAACAAAAACCAATCAATAATATCTGCCAGCAAATGTTTTAGAAATAATTTTGTTTGGATCAACGAATGACCCCAGGAAGCTGTAGAATCAAGCTGATTTTAAAATGAGGCAGGACCACACAGGATGTTTACAACACAGTATTTATCTTGTTCGTGATAATTCTTCTGCTTCACAGCTTTTACTTCCTGCTAATATTAAGCTTGTTTGTTAATATTTATCATTAACTGGACATAGCCTGACTTTAAGTAACACTTTGAACAAAAAAGAAACCACTATTATCACAAAACCATGCTCTTTAATGGAGAATGAGAACTGGCAGCATTCGTTGGCAGCTTAAGTCTTAAGATAAAACTATTTGAAACAAATAAAAACAAAGAGGGATTTAACAAATATTAGTAATCCCAGACTTTAGGTAACTTGGAAGCAAAATAGTGACTGAATAGGTCGCGGTGGATAGAGCCTGACTTTATATAACATTTTGAAGTTATATGTTTTAGATAAAAGGAGGAGGAAAATAATAACTAGATAACAGCTTGATACAAAAGACTAAACACTAATCCCTATTCATAGGGAGACATAGACTTATAATCCTAAATACATAAGAAAATGTTGAAAGAAATAATAATAATAATAATAATAATAATAATAATAATAATAATAATAATAATAATAATAATAATAATAACAACAATAACAATAACAATAACAATAACAATAACAATAACAATAACAATAACAATAACAATAACAATAACAATAACAATAGAATATGCAATATCAACACTAATCCTAAGAGATAAGATAAGATTAGAAACTAATCCTAGGAGATACACTAACATACTCTAATATATATATAGATATAGAGATTACTATAAGATATTTAATAATATTTCAACAAATATAACAGAAAATGTAACTTAAGTAAAATCTTAAACTAACCAGAGTATCAATTTGAGTGATAATGTTTGCATAATGTAAAGCAAGACCAGCAGCCCCCAGCTTCTTATGGTTGCCTTGTGAATCTTTCACTTGCTTATCTATATCTGTGAGGTTAAAGAGGAAAACAAGTATAAAAGACACATTCTGTTTAATGTGGCATCTCAACGACAAAGAGAAAGGAACCACAATTAAACTGTGGAACTAAAGTACAAAAAGGGCAGCAAACGGTTAACTTATTATAAATTCCATTTGCGTAAAACAAATACAGAGATAACTATTAAAAAAACAATGAGATGAATTTCTAATATCCCGATAAAGTAATTGACCTATGTAGTTATATTAATATACCAATGAATGGGTCTTGTTGCATGTTTCTGAATACTATATCCAGAATCTTATGCCATAGTGATAGAAAGGTGTCTCAGTCATCAATAAATAGGATATTCTTTCTATAAACTTACTCCAGCTTTTTTGTGTTAAGATAATAAAAGGAAGTAAAAGTAGTCAAGGTTAGTTAATTAGTTAGAAGGGAGAGGACACCCATGGGGAAAGTTCTATTCTCCATTTTCATTTAGTTCTCAATAATACATTCAGTTATTTTTATTCTTTTTATCTGTCTACCATTTCAACTCTTTGGGTTCCTAACAAATTGACATTTTATACAAGCCAATGAATATAACTTGATACCTAACCAATATATCATCATCATCAGTACTCGGGGAACAAAAGTTGCTAGTTAACCCCATCCAATTAATTGTTACTCAAATAGTTACTCAGCTGCAAACTGTTAGGCTAAGATGTACATGAGGACAGGGAAGGGAAGGGATTACAGGGAAGCTATCTTGTTATCTGAGGAACATGACTTCAAAGTTCTTCAGTATTCAGAGGAGACTTGCTATTAGTTCTAATAAAATACCAGGTTTTATAAAAAAAAATAAAGCAAACCACTAATCATAATCAAGAATTCTCGCAATTCTGGAATGCATACCAACACTACCAAATGCTTCGTTTATCTCCAAATATAGAAAATGGACGATATCTACAAGCTTTTCCATCACCTGAAAATAAATTACAATAATCAGATTTTATGTCTGCATGATAATAAAATTGCTTACGAAAAAGAGGCTGAAAAGAACTGGAAAAAATGTTATTCGAACTAAAATAACACAAAAAACAAACAGTAAACATAATCAAAAACAATTCAGGAACAATACTTTCCAGATGCCAATTACCAACAGTACACGGCCAAGACCACAATCTAATCATATAATTCTAATAATGTATTGAAGAATTTTTTTAATATTCATAAAAATAAAAAATAAACTAATGTCTTCTTACCTCTTCCAAAATCTTGGACCACAGTGATTTTTTCTTCAAATTTCTTACATGCTTCTTTTGACTCTTCAGTTCTGCTTTTAAAATTGCAAGGCTGTCTCCTACATATTTTACATTTTACAAATATAAATCACCTAAAGAATACTCGTATAGAAAATAGACTAACACTAACATATTAATTGGTCTTTTTTTAATTGTAAATGGCTAGTCAGATATTTGAACATCTGGAAAAAAAAAGTCATGTTCCAGAGATAGGAGCTACAGCATAGTGAACTTATAAGTGTAAATAACTGATGGAATTCAGAGAGTTGAGATAAACTTAAATGTATTATTTCTGTGAAATGATGAAAATGAATTGTTACTTTACAAAAGATGGCTCCTATCTATCACAGTAGAAGTTGTCATAACCGAACCTGAGATCTGATTGAATGCAGTTTCATCTAGTTACTGTTTACACAACTCTCATGGGAAATAGTAAAGTGTGCAGTAAAGTATAATACGGCTGATTAATAATAGTCCAATAATAGCAAAGTGATCAATATGAAAGTCCAACTACATATTGCATTCCAAATTGCTTCCCACTTTGAAACAAAAAATATTACACAAAATAGAAGGAAATATTTTCCTGCTAGTTCTTAACAAATGCTTGATCTTCTAAGTTCTATCTCTCTATTCCAAAGAAAGAGGACGTTCCTGTTCTTATTGTCAAACTTTGGAGTTTAAAGAGTTTGGAGGGATCAAGTTGTACAAAACTTAGAGGTTGTGTGCAGTTTTGACAGTTCTATGGAGTTTTTTAGTGAGACTAGAATGCTTGTACTTTATTAAGCTCTCAGTTGTCCTTAGTCCTTACCACTGTTACAGAAGAACAAGTTTTTGTGATTTTCTCGTCAAGATGTTCCCGTTACTTTTTGAGGAGAAATTACCTCTTAGATGGGAACAGGAATTTGATAGCTTTAGAGTATTGATGTGATGAGATTATTTGTTTTCGTTGTTTTCTTCATAGTTCAGAAATCCTTTAATGAATCCATGCACACTTATGTCACAAAATGAACATAAATAGGATATTGATTCTGAACAGAGTGATTATATCCAAAGACGCAATACAAGAACCCGAGATTGGCCAACATTTTACCTCTCTGTGTGGCATTTGAACTGTCCTCTTCTTGAAGCTTGCGTCGATAATCCTGATCAAACCTGTCTAAGGCATGCAATTCATGATATAATTCCTGCACTCCAAGAAAAAGGTAAATTACTTCAGGACTAGTTTTAATGAAATCAGTAGTGCTGCTTATAGAAATAAGAATCCACTGTTTGTAGTATTTTATGATGTTAAAATATGCATATAAATGAAAAAGAAAGACAAGGTATAGAGTAAAATTCAACACACAACTTTGAGGAAGAAAACAGGGATATGTGGAGTTACTTATAACATGTTTACTCACAGCAGTATATTGAACAAAGGTCATTAATTGTTGCATCACAATCTCTGCCTCCTCTTTCAATTGCCTTTGTGGTGAAAGCTCTGAACCTAACCTAAAAATGAACAAAGCAAACCATAACTAACACATCATTAAATGTTAAAAGGAAAAATGCACGGTAAATTTAAATCATTTCAACTACAATTACTTCTCAAAATAGCGTTCCAGGTTGTGCCACTGAGGATCTTTGCATCGATTTCCAAAACGCACAACTTCGCCAGAAAAAATTTTCAATTCTTCTCTGCCAAAATAGTAAAAGATAGTGAAAGTGCAGATAGTAACTGATGTGGATTGAGGTCCACATCAGTAACAGAAAAAATAAGCTACAAACCAAAAGTAAAGGCTCTTAATCTTAAGTTAATGACAAAAACATTTACGGTTAATTTACCTCTTGTCTGCAGCAGCAATTCTCAGGAGTTCATTCATATCTCTAGATACTAAGTTTTGCACTCCATCAGATGGCAGTACAACCTCTTTTAAATGTCTAATGCTCTCTTTTGAAAGAGATTGCATTAGATTGGCACCCTTAACTATTGTGTTTGCAACTTCAAAGGCCAAAATTGAAATTTTATTCCCTTTTGTTGTAACTCCTGATGTAAAACCGCTATTGAGATTCAAATTTGTCATACTACTACCTAGTGTGTCCAAAACATCTACGGCCTTGCCAAGTCCAACTGTACCAGCTCTGCCCAAGAGGGAACTCACTTCTGATACCTGTAATACATCAAAAGAGAAGATGAAAAGGAAATCTAAACCTTGCTTTGTTACATAGGAGGCCTTATAAATAGATCTGAAAAGGGGGAATGATCTAACCCGTGACATTAAACACTCTTTATCTTTAAGACATATGTTCAGTACCAGGTGAAGCATTAGCTCATTAGCAAAAGGGCGTTTAGTCAATATAACTATGAACCCAACGAACATGTAGGATTGTTTCTATGTCATAAAAGCTTAGACCAACAACTATCCAGAGAACTAGCCATGCTCTATATATATTACAAGGCTGGGGAGGCTAAGAAAAGAAATATTAAGGATTTTATATTTTACAAGAATGGTCACAAAGTTGAAAGATAAGTACTCACTAAGTTTGCAAAAGTATAACTTCAAAAGCCTCCAAAATAAGCTATTAAGCCGAAAACATAAATCTGTGTCAAACTAATTTTGATGGTGGTGATTGCGGTCTAAAAACGCTATCAGGATATTCTAACCATAAACAACAAACACATGCAAAAATATGATGAACTCACTTACATTATTTCCATTAAATAATATCATAGCATAGCTCAAATATACTCCCTCCATTTCAAAATGACTGCCGTTTAAGGTTTTTCCACACAAATTAAGGAATACAATGATATTGTCATAAGACATTACACTTTTACAAAATTAACCCTATTAATGTATTGGAAATAGTGTAAAGAGTAAAAATTAAAGGGCACAATTGGAAAAATAATAATCATTACTACATTAAAAAGTGAAAATGACAGTCATTTTGAAAAAAAAATTATTTGCTATAACGACAGTCCTTTTGAAACGGAGGGAGTATATCATTACCTTAGAGGATCTTTGTGAACAATTATTAAAAGTTAAAACCATTTTTTAATAAGCTTCCTAATGACCTCTCAGTCCTGTTATTGTCTGATTCTTATTAGATCTTGTTAGTCAAACCTGATCTAACCACGTAAAGGCACCTATAGATTAGTGTTGTTTCACACAAGGGTTTTCAAGTTAAGTCTAACGGATTTAAACAGTGGCACTTAATGTTATGGCAGCATGCATATGTTGTAGTTCTTTAATGTGTTTAAGTGACAAAAAGCATTAAGAAGTTATCAGAACCTCTAAAAGCGAGTAGTTAGGAGTCTTGATGAGTTGGGCAAATCCTAAGCTACCACCTAATAACATAAACTTTTGGGAGACTTGAACATCAGTAGAATGAAGTGCATAGACTCCAAGGATGTCTCATTGCAACCAAGCTTGCTTTGAGATTATGTTTATGGCTTCACCCAGGTTATCTGCTCATTGCTTTTTCAATAGTTTCTTTTTTGATTTACATACAATACAACTTCTTGCATTCTAGATTTATTCCTTCATATACGTTTTCTTTTTCTGAGTGATATCGTATCCTCCCCCCAGTTGTAGTTTCCCGCTTCATCACTTTGTTTAAACTACATTTTCTATCGAAAACATTGCTTAGTTTTTACGGCAAAACAGCTTTTCGGCCAAAGTCATCTACTAACACATTTTGATCATACATTTCTACGCTATAAAAGAAGCTAATCCAAAGACAAAAACACACAAGAAACAGAAAGATCAAACATAAGAATACCAACTTACCTTAACAGTTTTTCTAGATTTGTGAGACAACGTCCGAGGCAATCTAGGAATCCCATCATTGATATCCTCCATACCCGGCCCATACGGAACCTTTTCCAAGCCAGTAAAAGAAAACGAGTCCCTTTGATGCTTATGAAATCCATCAGCAAGAGGAAGCAAAGTGGAATTACTATTTATATTGGCAGAAACCGACTGAAAACTCACTCCATTTACATTTCCACCTTGATTGTCAATATTAGCATGACCATTATTAGCAGAATGTCTGGAACTTTCACCAGGTACATTATCTACAGCTACACCATCTACCGTCGCTTTCCATGATCTCGAACAAATGCCACCCATATTATAATTCAATAATAACTAAACTGTGTATACAACTTCCATACAATAGAAAAACCTCAAAACATTCAATTTACAGGAATGTTATGATGAATGCTGGGATTTTGATTATACCAATTCTGATCACCTTTACAGCTCCAGTCCATCAACTCACCGAATCTGAATACAAAATTAAATAATATCAACAAATCATGAAAAATAAAACCCTAAAAAGTTAAATAAACAGGCGAGTAAAGCTAGATGATGGTACCAGTAGCAGAGATCTATGAGGGTGCATGTGTGGCATTTGTGGTAGAAAAAATGAAAAAGGGGGTGCAAATAAGAAAAGGGGTGCAGGAAGAGATGTTAGACGCAAACGCAAACGCAAACGCAAAAGCTAGAAGCAGAATCTTGTTTGTTTCTCTCTTATGGTTAAAATACAGAGTCAGAGATGAAACGCCCCCACTACTATACTACTCACTCTCCAATCAACGCTGTTTTGACTTTTGACTGTGGTAAGTTAAAAATCATCGATTCAGGAAATTTTTGCATTTGCTTTTGTAACTTTTCTTGTGCTGGAATGACAAGAATCGCCTTTGTAATAATCAAACTATTTTATGTTCTGATTGGGAAAAGTTGTTATTATTATTTTTTTTAGTAATTAGAAACTCATTACTATTATGTTTTTCAAATTTTGTAAATTCTAAAACAATTTGATATCTCAAAATTACTCATGATAAAAAAGTTTTATATTAACCTAAGATATATGCTCATGAATATCTATGCTTCCTTAATATTTTTAAATTTATTATTTCGACTACATAGTAGATTTATTTTTATATTAAAGACGAGAGATAGTAATATTTTATATATATATATATATATATATATATATATATATATATATATATATATATATATATATATATATATATATATATATATATATATATATATATATATATATATATATATATATAAAATAAAATTTATACAAAATATAAGATAGATAACAAATTCATTAGAGATTAATTGATATATAATATAGTGTAAAAACTTTTACACTATAAATACATCATAATCATTTAAATATATTATTTTAATAAAAAATTAAAATAAAAAATAAATATTTAAAACAAATTAATAATCTTAATTCACTGATGGTGGTGTAAGATTATCTTAGTTTGTTATCCCTTAAAATATTAATCTTAAGTTATTTACATATCATTTTATCATTTTTTTTCTTAATTATTTGTTGTTTTTAAATTTTAATGCATTATTAACTATACATTTATTAATAATATAGTTTATTCATTTATTACAGAGAAAAAATAAATAAAAGTAATTATTATTTTATTTTAAAATTAATATCATTATCACTTTTTTGTACAATATTATCACATTTTAATATAAAAATAAATATTATATTTTCATCTGTGTCATTTAATATTATATAATATATAATTAATAGTTTAAATAGTTTTTTTTAGTTCTTGTCAAACAAAATTTTAAATTAACGTGTTTTTTATTAATGGTTTAAATAGTTTTTTTAGTTCTTGTCAAACAAAATTTTAAATTAATCTATTTTTTATTTTCATTCTTGTATCTTATTTTTCTAGAAAATAATTCCTGAATATTAAAATTCTTTTGTTGTAATCTTTAAAGTTAAAATCTACACAAATCTCATGATTTCATGCAAAAAAAAATTTTGAATTTTCTTGATTTTAATTTTAAAAATTAAAATTAAAAGAATTTTAATATTATTTCTAAGAAAAATAAAATACAGAAAAAAAATAAAAAACACGTTAATTTATAGAAATCAAAAGACTATTTAAGTCAAAATTAATTTATTAAAAGTATAATTTTTTACAACTTTATTGCCTTTTTTTAATAATTGCAAAACTTTTTATCAAATTTTATTTTAAAATGGATGAAATATTGAATAATTAAAAATATTATTAAAAATAATAATAATAATAATAATAATATATTCATCCATTGTTGTAAAATGTAACGGAATCAGTAATATTTAGTGTGTGTATAGAATTACACCATTAAATTTAACAAATAAATATTAATTCATTATGTTTTGGTAGTTTAGAGGGGACCATTTTTAAATAAATAAATAAATAATGAAAGAGAAATGAAAGATATTCCTCCTTCTTGAATAGTGTAATTATTATTTCTTTTCATAAAATACAAAATCAAAATCTATTTGATAAGAAAGTTAAAAAAAAAAAAGTATTAGAGAATAATTTTAGAGTATTAGAGAATAAATTTGTCAATTCATGATCTTGTGTTTCAACGTAAATCATCAAAATCTTACAATTTTAAGGATTAAAATCGTGATTTAATTATTTAAATTATTGGAAATCAAAATTGGCCAATTTCACCTCAAAAAAAAAACTGTCCAGTTTTTAAAATTAAAAATTTGAGTAAGCATGGTAATCATCTTCAGTTAAATTAAATGTGTAATGTAATCTTATGTTATTTCCTAACGTATTCATTCCATTTAAATGCTAGTACTACAAAATTTCTTAACATACTACTACAATCTTAACTTCTTTTCTTTCTTCTTTTTATTGGCAACCCTAACTTTACTTACAGCTCATTCTCAATTTTCTAGCACTTCATTTCTCTTACTTGTTTTGCCTAAAAAAACATCACCTGATCACTTTTATCTCTTGAATTTTTCATATCCCAGAAGGGCATTTATGTATAATAATAACCCAACATTTTTTTCAAGCTACACTACATCCAATGACAGGAACAACTCCACTTGTTATTGGCTCAAAGCAATTTGCAGTTTATAGGAAATTCAATTCATTGATTTCATACCGAATCAAACCACACATCTCAGCAGAAGTAGCTCTTGAGAAGTGCTAACAAGATTTTCTCCATTTTCAGTACACATCCAAAACAAAGCAGTTCAGTTGTGAAATGCACGTCACGTTTTAACTTACTTGACCACTCCAACTTGCCTTTCAACTTACTTAAATACTTGTATGAAACTTTTTTAAGGTGAAACTTCAAGGAAATTTCTTGCAGTTTAATGAGGAAAGAAAAACATAAAATAGAGAAAACTATTTCTCAATTATTATTATCGTTAATATTATTATATTGATATTATTTCTAAATTATTTACCTTGAACAAGAACATGGAAGTACTAGCTAATCCATCCCACATGTGAAGTTGACCTCGTTAGGGAGTACTAGCTAGTCCCAAATGCCATTCAGATTTCATATTTTTCTCTGCTAAGCTAGACATACAGCACCTGTAGTCTACACTTATAGTATATGCAAATTTTCTTTATCCATTTTTTTGTCCTTACCTAGTCTAGATGTTGACAAGGAAGAACTACAAGTACTCACGTGAGCAAGTTCGGTTAAAAACTGACGAGTATAATTATAACACTCATCTAGGAAGCTTCCTTCCTAACTTGGCACCTAGTCTACATGTCAAATAATGATTCAGTGGCTACTCAATAGCCAAGACCTACATTTTTAGGCCACGGTGTCTACCTACAAGAATCACAAGATGGCAATTGACCACAGTAAATAAGTAGAGACAACAGACTTTAGATTTTTAAAGGTCATTAGTGTCTTTCAGTTTCCCAATAGAATTATAGAAATATAATGAAAAGGATGCTGATATTTGTTAGCTTTCACCTGCCTACAAATATACATGAATGCTTGAGAATAAACTGAGTTCAATGAAAATCATAAAATCTCCAGAATGCTAATGCTTCAGAGTCAGCTGCTGGGAAACATAAGTAGAGTAGGACCCAAGTGGAAAATGGAAGAATTGAACGTTGGCTTCAGAGTGAGGCAATCAGATTAACATTCTTTGATCTACCACTGAATTTACATCAAGACAAAGATTTATCGAGTTAATGAAAGAGCAGTTTGAACAATGACATAATAGAATAAATGAAAACAGAAAACAGATGTATGAAACCCATCCTTTATATAAGGGTTTCAGGATCTGAGCGGTTTGTAATATCTGCAAAACTACAAAGGGAACAGAAGTAATGGGCGTACCCTTCTACTCTCATTACTGTTGAGATACAAGGTCTTGTAGTTCATCTATGATAGCTTCGTAGCAAAAAATATACTGATCCTGGTAGATTGCAGAAAGAGACACCAAAAAGTTCAAAGTTATATAAGGAGTTTTCAGATCACTATAGTATAATGGTCGTAGAAAAAAAATTAATAGTTATAAGAACCAAAATAATTTGGTGAACAGAACAAATAGGGGCACAGAGAATGAACATAGGCTCCTACTGAGATGATTCCAAGTGGCTGGTAAACTGAGGCATCCTAACCAAAAGGCGGGCTAGCAAGAAGGATAGAATGTGACCTTATGATATAGTATGGAGAAACTAATTTATGGATTATTTTGTTACTTTTTACAATTAGAAATGTAATTTCAGCCTTAATAACTTCAATATAGACAAGGTAAACATAAATTGATACGGTGTGGCCTCTAAGATGAACATGGGGTTGAGCTCAACATAATGTTCATGCAAAATAGCAAGGCTTGCCATTGTTTTTACTGAAATGACTGGTCACCTTTAGGACGGCATTGCCCAATAGCACACCCATGTAATTCAGCTTGCTTCAGTGTTACTTTCCGACAATGCCATGCACATTTTGAGCACGCCGGGAAAATGCAAAACATGATTGTGCTTTGTAAGAAACACAGATGAGTTAAATGCTAGACACTTATTTTCGCAAGGATTCATCTCCCTTCTTACAGATACCTTGTATTTGAGGGCTCAATGAAAAACTTTCTAATTTTTTGCAGACTTTCACTACCTTCTCGTCGTTATATTGTATTGTTTCTAAGGATTTCCAAGCAGTTCCAAGCTACAGTTTGATTCCTTTATGTGCACGTAGAGATTGTTCCTGCCTAAAACAGAGTTCTATGGGGGTTCTATGGTTAAGGAAAAGAGTACTATTACTGTACTACGATAGACATTAATAGTATTAGAGTGGGTGCAAGCTGAGTACAATAAGATAGGAACACAACTTATAAGAGATATTAGGAATATCTTAGATACTGGCATAGGTGAAGTAAGGTATCAGGGTCATTCTTATTTAAATTCTTGCTTGTCATTTCTTGGATCCTAGTGTTTTCTTTACTTTCTTTCTTTCCCTACTTTTTTACTTTCCTTAAGCAAAGTAACATATCTTGTTTTAAAAACTTCTTCCCTTAACATTGATTTTTCACCCGAACGAGCTAAGGAAAGGATATATGTCTATTAAAGAGGGGGATATTTACATGTTGACAATATAAAACATGTCTGTAATTTCTGAAACAAAAAGTCATTGGAAATTAATTTCTTGAGGAGCTTATTACCCTTCTTTCTACTAAGTTGTATCCTATGTTTCTAAGAATGCTTATAGTTGAGAGAGTCTCTACGAATCTTTTCTTTTGCTTTAATTTCCTTCTTACTCTATAAGAAAACCAGTAATGGGAGCGCTCTTTCACAGAAAAAACAATTATTAGTAGTAAGAGTGTCCCTTCCGATCGAGTAATAAATATATCTTCTTTTTAAACCAAAAAAAAAAGTGATTGATAGATAGGATTACAACTGAAGAAAAACAGGGTACTTTCAAGCTTTAATTTGTAATTGCATCCTGGCTTAACTATCTAACCTAGTTCCTTCACTTCCTTGCAACAATCTACATTATTTTCCATCAGACAGGTTAGGGTACCTTACCATTCCACTTCTTAGATTTCAAAACCTCTTGCCTTCTGATTTAGTTTAGAAATGGAACTTAACTAATATGTGGTCCCACTATATTCCTGGCAATTCATGCAAAACCAATACGCTCAATAATAACAATTATAAATTAAATTAGAAAATCTAACTACCTGTGTCTGAACCATTCCAATACGCTGAGACCTGAACACAGCTACTGTATTGGCAATATCTATAGCAGACATATCACCAGCAAGTATTCTCTGAATCGTGTTGTGAATTGTGCAGTATGTTCCAGTTCTACCAATACCTGCACTGAGCAAGAGATATTGTCTCAGGAAAATATGCATGTTACTTATTGTCATCATTGCCATAAAATAAAATGAGCAAACAAAAGGAATGAGATGAACCTGCAGTGCACCACTATTGGGCCAAGATTTGGTGGCAAATGGTATAATCTTTTCAAAATTTCACGCACAGCCGAAGTGTCGTTTGGAACTCCATGATCAGGCCACTCGGGATACTGAATATGAAAAACAGATAATGGTGTATCCTCTACCTGCAACAATATCAATCAAGATTAATATGAACCAAACAGTTTAGATCTTGATGGTGGAGAGAAACTTTGTGCCCGCTTCCAAAATCAAAATTTATATAACTTTTTATCTTTCAGTAAAAATGAAGAAAAAAAATGTGTCTTCCAAAAAGCAAATCCAGATATATAGTATGAAATGAAGATTTTTAAGGATGATATTTAATGATGCAATTGACCTTATCAGCCAGTACAGTATGTTTTCAATCAAGAATGAATAGTGTCCGTGTTATTCATGTTGTCTGTATTCATTTCTATTTACTGTAGGAAATAAAATTACTTGAAAATGGGTGAATATTCAAGTAATACAACAAGGTTGACAAAAAAGTTCTCCAGATTAGAAAGAGGGGGGAGGGATCTTGTGTGGAAGTATGTTCAAAGGTCTCAAGAAATGTGGCTAGACCTAACTCAAACCGGCTTGTAAGATGAGGATTGCTCTCACGCCCAGGAATTGCGTCTGGAGCGTGGAACTAAATAGTGATGTGGTTAGACCTAACTCAATCCTACAAAACCGGCTTGTAAAGGTGAGGATTACCCCCACTTATAAACACATGTTCAGGTCATACATTGTCTGATGTGGGACTCTTAACAAAAGGTTGTTTGTTTATCATAACTATGGTATTTGTACTACCGCAGATCTCAAGGTTGCCTTACCCGTATGGAACAAAAAAACACAATAACTAGTTGCAGCCAACTTTGCGATGCTATGCATAGCTCTCCTATAATTAGAAATAATTGCTTCAGACAGTTTCATCTCATTAAAAATGATAGAAACCGTCTTTCTAAAAATATTTTAATTAAATAATTTCAGACCAAAAAATTTGTTGTTGACTTCCAAAAACAAGAGTTAAAGCCAACTACTGAACTTTAAATATTAACTAAAACTGGTACCACCACTCCCCTGGAGTAACATGAGCACAGCCCATCATTCTTAAACTTGAATCCTTTAAGTTAGAGTGGCCATTAAGCTTTTGATGTTACAGAAACGCTATTGAGAGAAATTTTATTAAGAATATCATTCAGGTTCTGCATTGAAATGCAGGGTATGTAAGAAATGTTCAGATATCCAATGCCCTAGAGTTGGTTCAGCAGTACTATAGCAAACAAAGTATAAACAAAGGCCAGAAGAATTAGATGTAGTTTTGAAAAAATTATAAGCTGAAAATCATCCCACCTCTTTATGGTTCACCTCCAAATTTCGCAGCACAAGTGAAGTTTCAGTAGTTTTCGTCCATTTACATTTAAGAGAGATATTCCCGAATTCTCTAGGTCTATCCTCAGATTGAAAATAATCTCCACACTTCAGAATCTATAAAATTAAAAAGAGCAGTACAAAATATTGATAAAATATGAAGTAAAAAAGAAACCAAACTCAAATAGAAAGGAAACAAGTTGGAATCACCTTGTCATTATCGACCAACCTAGTAAGCATCACAATTGCAGGGCAGTGATATTGTATCATCATTTCCCAAAAATCCTCAAAAGTGTGTCGCAGTGGACCTTGCGTGGCTATAAACTCAGACACAGTTCCAGGGGAAGAGGTCTACGGTAAAAAAAATTGAAATATACAGTTCCCACTTCAAATAACCATAAGAATCAAATTAGCTTTTAAGACCACTATCAAACAAAGACAATAATATATTTATACCGAGATAACGCTTGCATTGATATACCCCAGTGCTTCAGACCTATAATCTGAACTCGAATTCAGAACAACCCTGTTCTTGTCAACTGAAACAAAGAACCATAAAGAAAAATTAATTTCCTCCAAATCCATACTTACAATACAAGAGGCGTGTTTCGATTGACTTATTTGAGCTTACCTAAAGACATAAGTATTTGTTAGAGTGTTCTTGGTTCAGCTTTTGGAAGAGTCAAAAGCAATTCTAGAGATGTAGAATTGATTCTGAAATAATTTTAACTTTTAAGGTGTTCGGTTCTTCTAAAGTAGAATTGATTCTGCTTCTAGAATTGATTCGACTTAAAGCTACAATTTGTAGCTTTTGAGTTTAAACGTAATTTTTACACTGAAATTTGTTGTCTGACTCACTTTTACATAAATGTATCCACGCATAAATCACTTTACAACCAACTCACTTTTAACCAGAATCATTTCTACAAAATCAATTCACTCAGAATCAATTCTCCTCACAACAGAATCAAACATACATGTAAATTATGACATGTATGTAAGTTATTTTCAGCCTATTTCAATATGCTCTCTATAAGTTGTCCATAAGCTCTCCAGGATAGTTTATGGAAACTGTTAGTAACTTATCCGAAAACAATTTGACTTTATAGAATAGTTTAAGCACTTAAGCTATAAGCTATAAGCCGAGGATAAGTTATTAATTAAGTTTATCCTAATAATAGCCGTGAAATGAATGCATGTGATATCAATAAGTGGTGAAATTACATGGTATAACATCTCTGTAACGATTTTTGCTGAGATTAGCAGAATTAAGAGCAACGTTGCATCTTCTCGTCGTCTCACTCAGCGTTATCCTGTTCTCCTGAAATCACAAAACAAGAGAGTTTGATTTATTAGCCTTGCGATACGAAAATGAAGAAATCGATAGGGATTGGCGTGAACCTGCAAGTGAAGAAACTCTTGAGGGATGGTGTGAGGGTCGAGGAGCCTGCTCTTCAACAGTGCGAGTGCTTCAGTGCAGTGCTTGACCTGATCGGAAGTAAGGGGGATTCCGGAAGGGAAATCGGGTGAGAATGGTGAATTGTTGCGAGAAGATGTGGACGAGGGAGGCGCGGAACTGCCAGCCATGGCGGATCTCCGGCGAGGACGAGAGCGGGTAGAGACGAGGTTCCCCAGTTCAACCGTAGAGTGGGGTTTGTATAATTTGGGTTTTGAGTTCACACTCACTTTCTCATTCCATATAATAAGTGAAGAAGTTAGTGCCTTTTTGGGTTAAAGCTTTAGCTTTTCCATTTGGGAATCACATGCTTATCATATTCAATTATTTTCAATTTAGAGTTTTATAAAAATAAATAGTAGTAATAAATATTTTTTACCAATGTTTTAAAAACTGAATCCATCACGAGGATATTGGTCATCCATTTTTATGATTAGATTGAAATAAATTGGATAATTTGATTAATAAATTAATCTCTGTGATAAAAATATATATTTATTAATTGATCAAATTAAATGATTTGGTCTCTAAAAATTTACAACATCTATAAAATTTCAATTTTTTAAAATATAATAATTTTATAAATTTATTCTTTAAATTTAAATTCTAAACATAATCATCCCATACAAATTCAAATAATCTACACAATAAGTCGATCTAATCTAGTTTTTAAAATATTATTTTTTACCCTACATTCTTTTAATAAGAGGTAGTATTTTTTAAGGAAAAAATACATAATTTAAACCTCAATCATGCAATATTTACCATAATTTTTATTTATTTGTTCAATTTCAAACTAAAAACAAGTAATAGAGGATGATGTTGATCATGTGATTTCAAATATAAGAAGGATCCAGAATTGTGTTGTATGGTTTTAATTTTACAAAAAGATGGATTTATCTTAGTCAATTTTAAGAAGATAGATGAAATGAAGCTTTAAGCGTGGAAGAAAGAATATAATAAAATAAAAGAGAAAGTTAGAAAAGTGCATACTAAAATTTTCTCTCGAGAGTTTAACTATTAACTTAAACTTTTATCACATGATTAAACCCAAAACCTTATTACGTCAAGCTTTTACTTAGGTTCAACTTGCAACCTTTATAGCAATTACAATATTTCAAGAAAACATGGCGCTTGATTTACCGTTACAACACGATTTGATTCAAACAACAAATTGCATAACTCTTATTTTAAGTAGTTCACTCTCTCATTGCTAAAATAATAAAAAGTGTATAAAATAGTTTCTAATAAGATAGTGAGTAAGAAAGAAGAATGTAAAATCAGATTTTTGAATTTATAAGTGAGCACAAGGTCTCCTTTATATATAAGAAGAAATTTGGCCAAAAAATGAAATAACTCATGGGTCGAGTCCGCTCTATAAACGAGTAATTTGCAGTTTTAATCGATTATACATAACTAATTAAAAAAGAAATTGGCCAAATTCAGAGTCTGATCGATTAGGTTGTCAGATTGTTTTATAATCAATTAGATACATATTTTAATTGATTATAGAGCGGGTTTTTACTTTTCTAATTGGTTAAGACGCTTGTTAATCAATTAGCATATGGGCAGAAATAATTTTTAAGAATGTTTTGAAAGAGATAGAGTTTATAAAATCATTTTTAAATGTGTGAGTGTGTGTGCGCACGCGTATTACTTTAGTACCATGAAAGATACTCACATTTATTTACACATTATTGATCATAAATAGATAAAACAACAGTCAGATAAGATCAGACAGACAATGAAGCCATCACACTTCATTTTACTTTGAAGCCATCACACTTCACTTTGAAATTCCTAATCTGACGAAGGGACGAAGTTTAGGAAGAGGGTTTGATGTCGACTACCGCGATGACATTGTCGCAATGACAATGACTTCAGATGGCGGTGGAGGTAGAGGGTGTTATGGTATTATGGTGTTGAGTTAAGTTGGTGGAGGAAAGAGAAAGTTGATTAAAGAGAAATCTTATTCCAAATTATGCATTGAATAAAAAACAGTTATATATAAATTTTGGTGTACTTAAATATCAATGGGTGCACTTGGACAAGTGGTTTACTTGTAATCCTTTTAACTAAAGCAGTGTGGTTTCAACCCCTATTAGAAGCAAAAAAAAATTCACCTAAACATGCCACGTCACCTAAACGTTATAAGGGGGAATCCAGGGGTTAATCGCTCACACTATAGGAGGTAAAGTGTATTTAACCTTTTATAATATGATAGATAAATACCTTAGTAACTTCAAATGGTTCAACACAACCAGTGCTACTACACTGGACGAGGAAAAGTCATCAAATAGAGTCACTTCATACACTCTACTTTTATCATATATACTTCGACCTCTTCTACTTCTACCACTAGTCATACCAACACATGAATCTTCTTATTCTCTATGAGGCATCTTCTACTTCTACCACTAGTCATACCAACACATGAATCTTCTTATTCTCTACAAGGCAATAGAAATTGATTCGACCTAACATGAATCGTCTTGAAAAGAATTGATTGACCCTTGACTCGTCACTTAGTTTTTTTTCTTCTGATTACCATCAACACCACTGGCATCGCAGACACCATTATTTCCCTTATTGATGCACTTAAAGCATTGTCACCACTTTCACTAGGTGTTTGACCCGGGTTTTAAATATAGCCATTAATTATTTCTTCAAAATCATCAATAAAAATCAATGAAGAATCATTATGAAATTTTGGTTCAATCCAAGAATGTTCCCTCCCCCTACTGAATCCATAGAGATAAATAGTCTACTTAAAATATATGATCAAAGTTTATAGGATTGGAGCTTCTTTAAATGCCTCTGTATCTTCTTCTCATAATGGTCCTCAATTTTAGCTTCATGTTGCAAAATGCAATTACAAGTATTTGTACTTTAAGTACTCTAGGTTGTTTCTTGTTTTTGCATGTATGTTTCTAAACATACTCTAATTTTGCTCACAAGTTGAAGTTTTGAGAACTTTTATAACTATTCTTTAATATTTAGAAGTACAAGTTACTTATATCCTTTTTATTACCATTTTTACAATCAAATCATTTTCACAATAAAATTTAAAAGCAAATAAACACTTGGTCGATACCAAGCCTTTTCAAAATTAATCAACCAAGTTACAAGATCTTTTTCACAAACTTAAAAATAAGACAACTCATCAAATTTCTTATTTTCACCCAAGCGTGAAGCCCTTCATCACCCAAGTGCGAGTCTTTCATCGCCCAAGCACGAACCTTTTCAACTAGTCTTTTTCCACCCAAGTGCAACTAGACTCATTTTCACAAATAAAATAAACCAACACATATGCAGTTTTCTACCAAGAACTACGTAAACTTGAGTTCTCTATCGCATTGGGAGATACGTAGGAACAAGAATCAACGTCTCATCATGCACCATTTTAAAAATATAAAAAATAATATTTTTGCCCAAGTGTGAGTCTTTTTTATCATTCGCTTAAGCGCGAGTTTTTTTATCAAATTATTTATCGCCCAAGAGTGAATATTTTATACTTTCGCCTAAGTGCGAGTCCGTTTTCAAACACCTTTCTTCTCCCAAGCGCAAATCTTTAAATTAATTAACACATTCAGCGCATTTTATGTTCTTTAACACATTCATCGCATTTCAAACACATTTCAAACACCATTGTATTCCGAATTGCATGTGTCTCATTCAACATATTTTATGTTCGTTAACACATATATGGTTCAATGGTCGGATTCATTCAATGCATCGATATCTTTTATTATTGTCTACCTCATCATCGTCACTTATCATCGTGATTGTTATGATGACTTATCATCATAAAAATCATGATCCTAACAATCACGATGATACGCGACGATGATGAGGTAAAGTAGATCTTATAAGTTTCTATGTCAATTTAAATGATTGTATTTTCATTAAAAGGCTAGTGAAACAAATAATATACATAGTATATAATAAACTATACTTCATCTTGACACATCAACCTGTATAAGAATTTTATGAACAAAATATTGTTAAGTCACAAGAAGTCTTTTTCTTATGAGTTAGCATTGTTTTGTTCTTGTTTTGAGAATATTTGTCAACAAAAACATCATACAGCAACACAACAAATACTTGTAACACAAAAAACACACATATTATAGTAACAAAACACTAATAGCATACAATATCATAAAATATATTAAGTTGTTTATAGAATGCACCTCTTATTAAAAATAATCGTGGAACTATGAAGTTCATCTAGTTTGTGAAGCAATGAGGGAGAAATACAAGGTGTATGAAGTTTCCACAATGACTTCATACTTCTTGTATTTTTCACCATTGATAGAAAAACCATATGTACCTTATCAACTCATGTTATACGCTTGTTATCACCATCATCATCACCATATGAGGTTCAGCTAGTTTGTCAAGCCATGAGAAAGAAATATAAGATGGATGAAGTTTACACAATAGCTTCATACTTCTTATATTTCTTCTCATAGCTTCTCAAACTAGATAAAGTTTATTGTTGTTTTTTCTCGAGTCCTACAAACATCATGAATATTATCAACATGTGAAACCGCAAGCTTATTTGTCAACAACACAACATGAAACATCAACATAGAAAAACATACAACCATAAAAAAAAACATAAACTATCTAAAATTATAGGAAAACCATGTGAAACATAACAACAACATACACGAAAACGAGAGAATAAGGAAAAATAAAAATACCTTTATGTAAGAAGAACAAGATTGATGGTTATATTGTAGAATATGAATGTTAATGATGATGAAGAAGAGAAAAATGGGTTTTACGGTTTTGCTGTGAAAGATATGACGCTATTGTCAAAGAGCGAGTGTTAATTCGCTTATATATAAATATACTCACAACGATTTACAATATCAATTGTGGTGATATATATAAATGTGTCACAACGGTGGAACATACCAACTGTAGTCATAACCCTTTAAGTTTTTTATTTAAAGACGCGCCTTAACATTAAAGGAATAATATATATGAGGGCGTTGAGGTTCGAACCCATGAAAGCTTAATGGTATCACCATAATTTGTTCCTCAACCGATGTTATATACAAATAATTTTTAATCAAAAAACAAAAATAATATGGTAGCACCTTAGTTTAGAGATGTCACA